TCACCTCACAGACGCGCTCCCCAACCGTCACCTCAGCCCTGCTCATTCTCCATCCAAACCAGCACCGCTTTCCCAGGGTCCCCCTCACCAAAAGTCATCACCAACCATTTTTTATTTTTTGTTCATTCCTTCTGGTGCTGTCATACCGTACAGTGCAGTATCTACATACAGTACCATACCCGTCTCTCTCTCTCTCTCTCTCTCTTTTTTTTTTTTTTTTCTTTGTATCAGATCTCTCTTCCTTCTTTGCAACATAAAGCAAACTTACCCCCTCTTCTCATACACCTTGCCAACGATTACCTCCACGGGCAGGCGATCTGAGAGGAGAATAGAAACTAGAGGCCCTTGCTACCGGCATACCTAGAGCGTCTCATCATTACTCTGCCACCTCGACTCGTCACATCGGGGCCTTGTTTCTTCTTGAATGCTTTTCGAGCTGTGTACATCTTGAGGGTCCATTGGCCTACGGATATCACTCCCACTCATCACCCGTTTTCCCGCCTCCTTGCCCTCAGGTGCAGTTGAACTTGCTCGGACACTGGGGTTGTGCGGACTTCTCGGTCCCGGCATATAGCCAGCGAACAGCAGCAGCAACAGCAAAAGTAGACATCATTCAACCTGCGGGTGTGTGTTTGTGCGCTTGCAGTTTCTCTCTCACTCAGTCATTCCCCTCAACTCAAATTTCCCATCCGCCGAATACAAGCCGCCAGCAAACATCTATTCCTTTCAAATTCTACTACTCCTTCTATCCCGTTTTCCGGACAGTCAGCCAGAAAGAAACGTATAATATATTTATATCGAGGCTATTCCGTTTTGAACGTCTGCGACCTGACGCACAGAACGACTACCTACTCCCCCGTTCTAAGGATCGCCACGCCCGCAGGGCCGTCCGCCATCTAAGTCTGGCGCGTGGTTTCTCCTCTCGGTTGATCTAATCAATTTCTGTAGCAAAACCAGGCCGGCCCTACCTTGCCTGCCAGCGCTCGAGCGTCTCCCACACCAAGACCCGCTGGCGAGGACGACGCCGGTTACGGTACATGCCAAAAGTCACTCGACCTACCTTACCCTTATCCTCCTCCTCCTGGTACTCCTCCTCTCTCCTCCTCCCTCACTCCCACTACCCTACCCTACCCTACCGGTACCCCTGCCTTGCCTCTCCTCTCTGTTACCCGTCTGCACCGTCGAAAATAAGAAAGGGCCCAATCGGTACTACCTCAGGTACCTAGGAGCGTACCTCACTCCACGCCTCCACAGCTCTCCTATCCCCCTGCTCAGAATCCATACCTCGTTCCAGGGGCCCCTGGAAGAGCAACCTGCCCGCTCCAGCAGAGCAGAGAAGCACCACTTCTTTTTGAATGTAATGCTATATTGCTGCCGATAATATATACCTACATCAGACGCCTCACGTCTTTCGCTCATAAAGCAACGCCTCCACGATAATCTTGGACTGGCCTGCCTGCGATCGTCTCCCTTCTGCCCCTTGTAGTATAACAAAGCGCCACGACCTCTCACATACACCAACGACACGCACGCAACTGCACCTCATCTCAACTTCCCACATTGTTTCGTTTCTTCAGCCAAAGTACGCTGTTGCGTTTGGACTCGTCTTGTGCCGGGCATATCCCACTCGTCCTTGTCGTTCCTGAGGATAAACTACATTCAAACCAACAAGACCGTATCGTCACCGTCGTCATCCTTCATAAGTCGACTAAACAACAAATAACAAAAACACCAAATCTGTCGTTCACTCGCCAGTTCTCCACCACGACACACACTACTCGACTCTCACCACAGACACCAAGGTTTCTCCATTCCCGGCTCACCGTCGTCGACACTTGCAACATCCTGGCATCTCCCAAAGTAGCCTCACCACACACCACGAGAATAGAGAGAGAAGAGCCTCAGACGTCCTTCCTAGTACCTTCCTTCGGCCCCCCACTTGGGTGATTCTCGCGGTCCGTCTGTCTAGACCATCTTGCAGTGGATCCTCTTCACCTTCGGAGACCATCAAGAGCTCTGTGCACACTTCTGCGCGAGTCGTTGAAGAGAAGCCAGACGAGAAAATAGAAGCAAGGAAGCTGCCGGTAGAAGACTCGAGTCTGTTTCTTGTCATCCAGACACCCCTCAAGCAAGAAAACGACGCCAGTCGTCCAAGATCCGCTTGGTCTCCCGTACCTGAGCGCTCAGAGGTTCGACGATCGCATTGTTCCTGGTGGTCACCATTATGCTTCTAGTCTCGGAAACTTAACACACGCCGGCCCTCGACACTTGGACTTCGAAACAAAATACACGGCAAGCCAGCCCGAACTTGGTTCACCCTTCTTATCTCATCCGCCGCCCGAAGAAGGGATTGTCCTGCAAGCAACATCAGCACTTCCCACCAGTTTGCGCTCGACCACTCGCAACAGATCCTCCAGTCAGGTGGCTAATTTTCATCGAAGACGGAGAATTTTAGTGCCTGTGCACCAGGACCCTCCCACCTTCTGGTACGTCCACACTTGTGGCTGTCTTAAAGAAGGCTACTCCCACCCGCTATGAACTCATTCTACCTCCTGGCCTTCATCAGTTCGTCGTACCTTGGGTTATCTTGAGCTGATCGTTTCCTACCAGCTTCACTCCCCTTCCTCTCTCATACTACTTACTACCTTACTCTCCTTCTCACACACCTTAATCTCCATCTCTTTCCCTCAACTCAAGAGGAGTGTCAGCTTCCCCGTCACAGCCACCACGCCTGATTAATACCAACACCCCCGACCAAGCTCAGGCCTCTTCTTCTTCCTCCTCATCTTCTTCTCTCTTAAACACCGTCCGTCCATCCTCCTCTTCCATTGTTCAACGTTCCTGAACGCACCGTCGTCTTCAACGCTTCGAACACTGCTCATCTTCGGCAACCTTGCGCTGGACGCCGCACCCGTTCTTGTCTCAAGTCGTCGACCTCCTACTTCTCGGCACACATTCACCACCCTTGCCTTCTTGTCCCAACCCATCATTCCTTGAACGACGATTCGGGAGTCTGCATACACAGAACCCGCATTGAGCATCCCGCTTAAGCAACGTTCCGAACCAGGATAACATATCACACACATCAACGCACGCTACCCTTGCTTCTTCTACTCCGGACACCATATCAGCCCAGTCCCTTCATCACCCGATAATTCAAGACACCTTTATCCCTCGCCGCGGAAGTATATAAGTAGTACAGCTACTGCACTGGTCCGCATCTTGGTAATCCCCATCCAAACACATAAATAAAACCCAAAGAAATGGAACTCATGGAGCTTGTCGAGAACGAGCCCACTGCTCGCCCCTTCCAGTGCGACTGGCAGTCGTGCAACAAGGTGAGTCCAGAAACACGCCGCCACTCGGCTACGGCTGTGGTGTGACATGGACGGATCTAACTTCGACATCTTGTAGAGCTTCAACAGGAAGTCCGATTTGCAGAGACACTACCGCATTCACACCAACGAGCGTCCCTACTCCTGCACAACGCCCGGCTGTGGCAAGAGCTTCATTCAACGGAGTGCTCTGACTGTCCACATCCGTACTCACACGGGAGAGAAGCCTCACCAATGCCAGCACATTGGTTGCGGCAAGCGATTTTCTGATGTATGATTTCCTCCTGACAACGGCATGTTCCAACAGGCACTAACCTAAGAAGTCTTCGAGTTTGGCCAGACATCGCCGTATTCACACTGGCAAACGCCCTTACAAGTGCGCCCACGATGGCTGCCTGAAGAGGTAGATCTCTAGCCACCAGGCTTTCCCTCCACTTGACGGAGTTGACACTAATCAACTGAACAGCTTCTGCCGCAAGACCACAATGGTCAAGCACCAGAGGAGATCTCACCAGCGCGGCCTCCACCCCAACGAGCTCTTGGACGACTGCACATCAGACTCCGACAGTGGCGAGTCTCCTTCTACCCCGAAGCACGCCGGCATGCAGTGGCCTCCTCAAGGCGTCATGGCCATGAACCACCCCGGTATGGGTCACGCAATGCACCGAGCTGCCTCATTTGCCGACTTCGGCCAGCACATGAACGGTTACCCTATGCCCCAGCAGCAGCAACAGCAACACTACGGCGCGCACCGCCACAGCCTTTCTTCCGGCGGAGCACACGAGATCCACGGTATGGTACACGACCAGCAACACCCTGGTGTACACATGCTGCAGCGAACCGCCAGCATGGGCCAGCACTCGTACTACGTGACGGAGCAGGGCAACCCGGGTGTCGCTACCATGAACACGGCCATGCCCCAACAATACGGACAGGTGCCCCGGCAACAACAGCCGCAGGTTGATGTGCCGTACTCTCAACCTGGTATGAACCAATCCATCCAAAGCAGCCCGAGCAGCTTCTCGGCAGCATCGGGTAGGAGCCCATCCATTCAGGAAGGGTTTTATACTCACCAGCCAACCCAAGCAGCCACATATGCCCTGCATCATGCCTCCCCCGTCCTCGAGCAACAGCAAGCCGGCATGGTCGCGTACCCGCACCAGCAGATGCAACAGCAGATCCATACCCCCCAACCGATCCCGACTCAGGCACCGCAGCCTCCGCCTCAGCAAGTCAGCCAGTACGCCTCACCGGCACCCCAGGCCCAACCCGAAGAGTACTGGAACGGCGTTCCGTACCAGGCACCGGTCGAGGTTGCAACAATTGGCCAGCTGCCGACCTACGGCTCCGGCGTGTACGACCCTTGGGGTGGCCCCAAGATCGAGTTCGAGGATCCCTCGATGCAGCTCCCGTCCGCACGGATCGAGAACATGTAAGCGCCAGACACCATGCGACGATGGCTTCCGCCACGCCAGGCATCTGTGCCTTCCGATACCAAATCATCATTTCCATCGGTGCCTCGTCTCGGCGCCGCTTGCTGTACCACCACCGGAAATTTTGACGTCGATTTGATTTTAACATATTCCCCCACCTCGTTGATTGAAAAAGAAGGAGATACCACGCGGGCTCCACAGAACCGAGCTGTCGATTGTTGAAAAGAAGAGGATGAGCCTTTTGGGCGCCTCTAGGCCCAGTGCCCCGCCACGCCTGTCATCCCTCCCTTGGGGCAGTCTCAACGGGCCAAAAGGGATCCAGACGAAGAGAAACACAAGGAACAGAAAATGTCAAATCAATCCCCCAAAAGCATACATCAAGTTGGTACTCTGTTTTCTGGGTTTCAACACTCACACACAACCCACTGCCGGCATACTTCGCAATGCCGTTTGTAATCGTCAAATTTGTCGAAAAGGGACGATCGCTGGATCTGTCGCTTCTCCCGCCTCGATTCACTCCGTGGCTCTTCGCCTTCGGGCACCATTTTCTTTGTCAAGCACATACTATTACCCCGTCGACTTGGAATATTTGCATCTGTTTTCATCCGGGATATATCATTGGTGGTCTTTCTGTCGCTTCGCGTTTATAATTTCGTCTTTAGTCGGTCGGGTACTCGTGGGGTTTTTGGAGCTTGGTACGGCGGTTTGTGCTGTCTTATTTAATATTTTCTTTTACAGTTCTTTCACTCCTTTCTCATCGGGGCGTTCATCAACCATGTCGACTGAACATGTTCCCGATGATATGATACAACGAAAGCATAACAGCCGTCGGTCGGGCCGATGGGGGAAAGCCACTGGCATGTTGGGAATCATTGGACGATATCCGAATCTTGACGGCCCTTTTACGACCTTGGTGGAAAGGGTGAAATCGCATGGGGATGGGAGGAGCAGGACAATAATGAGGATGGAAGGAGGTTCAGGGGAAAAAGGAAAGAAAGGGGACCGTCATTCGATGCCTGATATACGAAAGGCTCGGTCGGGTTTGGCAGCTTTGGAATTTCTCCGTTGCTTTTTCTCAAGGCCTCACGGCGCGACCCGGAAAACAAAAACATTCCCTGTAACAACAACAGCACGAAGTCGACGAATTCTCCTGTCTGGTGGTGGGCGGCGCATTCCCTAGAACAGATTCCTCAGGGGAAGGGTTGACGAAGAGGGAACAACCGGGAAAAGGAGGAAATGGGGGGCCATGAGGAGGAATAGGGGACTACGAGTCGTTGTGCATATGTAATTTTATGTGTTCCTCCCCTTGTGTATTGTGTGCTGGATTCAAAGGGGAAATGAGAAACAAATGGGATAGTTTTGGGAATTGATACCTGGTCAGTCAGAACGGAAAGAAATAAAAGACTTTGTTGATCAAAATCTTGCGGTCCAAGTCGTCTCTTTATATGATCATGAGTGGATGAGTGGGATGAGGAGAAGAATGGCGAAAAGAATTGGCCGAGGCTAAGAAGGGGGACGCATGACCAGAAGACGAGCTGATGGGCTCTTAGCTCTTAGCCTGTGTAAGTGAAAACTTTGAGAGTTGTTTAGCTGTTGAACCGGTGACACGTTGCCTTGCAGAAGCGTCTGCTTTAGTTCAAGGGGTGTCTGCATGATTGTTCGTATTTGTTGGTGTTGGTGTCGGTGGTAGTGGTGTTGAGATTCTTTGGTTCCGATGGGTAAATTGTTTGCAGCCTGAATTGGGAGATTCGGTCGGGTAAGGTGAGATGAGATGCGTGAGGGTGGTGATAAGAGACGGCGTTGTAAGTCGTGCGCTTGGGAGGACAGGACGGGCTATTCTGGTAGCTGGGGATGCAGATCATCTGAGATGGTGAATGGAGATGAGAGCTGAACTGAGTTGAGCTGAATAGATGTATTAATGGTCTTGGCATTTCATGGCTGTTTTTCTTCTTCGGCCATGGAGGTCTTTTGAGTCGGTAAAGAGGAGGATTGAGTTATCGTCCCGTGTGACTGGCGACGAAGTGTTGGATGCTTGAGAGACGAAGAGCTGGAGGTTTGTAAAGGTATAACTGGGGGATTCTATAGAAAGTTTGAGCCCGGATGATCCGCTCGTGAGATGCGCTGATCTCCGGGATATCCGCGCTACCCAGTGATGCTCATATCAGGTGTGAAAATATGAGAGACCGTCGCAGCCTCGTGAGTTTATTCTTCGCCCGGTGCTGCTGATGTGAGAAATCGGTGGACGGTGCTGACGGAGATTTCAAGACCCGGCTTCGTTGAGAAGGGAAGAAGAAGAACGGAGGAAGAGGGGGAGGTTTGCTAATGGATGATGGGAATGAGGGAAATGGGCGAAGAAGGAGGGCGTTTACAGTTACCAACTCATGGGGGAAAGGGCGCTTAATCCAAAAAATTGATCTGCAGTTGTTTGCTCTGCATGCGGAAGAATGCATCCATTTCCATTCCTCAGCCAGCTGCTTCTGGCGATGTGTTTCTAGGGGTCTGAATGGGGAGAGAGAGGGAATTTTATGATTGGCTAGAACCTTATTGGCCAATCATGTTGCTTATTTCCGACATCCTGGGAGAGCATATACTGACAGAGGTGACTTCGCACCGGAAATTCGCGAGAGATGGAGAGTCTTTCCTAGATTGAATCAGATATTAAATCCAGAAATAATGAAACATCGATACTGGGATTCTGGTCAACTCGAGGTCAAACTACGATCACCTTCAATGCTGAGAGAGAGAAACTGGTGTAGTTGAACTTCTGATTATTAACCAATGACATGAGGTTGAATTATGCCCCTGCTCGTCTCCAATGGACCCCAAAGGCTTTGTCATCATTCGCCGGATCGGTCTTTCCCTGGCACCGACAAGTCGCGACATTCTAGAATCTCATCGACGTCACGTGGGTATGAACCTGGGCCTTGCTGCTTTCCCCGGTCGCGGCGCTTCGGCAGGGAAAAACTCGGAAGGCAGCACCGCAATGTCGTGGTCAATGAATAACGTCAGCTAAGGTATCCGTAGCGCATTTCGCCTCAACATATCCATATCCCGCCGCCCCGTCGCCGCTCTCAACAAGACGACGAGTCAACCCTCGGCGCGAACCATGTCATCTTCATCACACCTGCACATACGACGTCGATAGTAACTGAAGAAGCCTTTTCTTTTCTTTTCCTTTTCCCCTTTTCGGTCTCGTAAGGGGAGTGCCCCTCTGCAGAACCCTTTGTTACCATCACCAACTCGGCATCAAGCAAAACCATCTGCTCTGACGAATACGCGCTCCAGCCTACACCGCACCTTCCCGGCTACCCCAAAGGCATCATGGCCTTACGCCCAGCAGCGCTGGCGCTAAGTGCGACCAGCCCACTGCTCCGACGGGCAACGATGCAGCCCGCGACGATGCAATCCGTCCTCCGGCTCGCGACCTCCTCCGCTCGCCCGACCGCCACCGCCTTCACTCGGACCCCCGGCCTGGGCCTCGCCCTCCAGCTCCAGCAACAGCAACATCAGTACAGACTCTTTGGAACCAACAATGCTATCTCGCGCAACCTTCTCGCCACGAGAGAGTCGGCAGCGAACAGGAACCCCGGCAGCGCGACCGCGCAGAACGCATTCTACCAGCTCCTCCTCAAGGCCAACATGCCCGCCATCGTCATCGAGCGCTACAACTCTGGCCGGTTCGCGAGAAACGATGCGGTGGATCAGGCATATGCGCAGGCGATTGGCATGCAGAGCACCGGCGCCGTCGGCGGGATGGGTGGTCACGACCACCTGCCCTCCGCCTTTGGCAATGTCGGCACGCTCGGCGGCCAGGAGTTGAACCAGCAGTCCCCCGGGAACCTGAGCCAGGCGCAGCTGCAAGCTGTTGGCCAGGCTCTGGCTGCGAGGTCGCGCGACTCGAACATGGCTACCGCAAAGGTCCAGGGCAATGGCCTCCCGACCAGCCCGCTGCACGTTGTTGTAGACGAGTCATTCGGTGGCGTCATCTTCCGCTGGGTCAAGTTCGTCTTGTGGTTCTGTCTCTTTACGTATCTCAGCTTGGTCGTCGTCACGATGCTGGTCGAGGGTCTCAACCTCTTCAAGCGACCCGGTGGCAAAGTGGACAGCGAGGCCAAGGCCGAGAACCAGACTACCCGTTTCGCAGACGTGCACGGCGCCGATGAGGCCAAGGATGAGCTCCAGGAGCTGGTCGACTTCCTCCGCAACCCCGACAAGTTCTCCACCCTCGGCGGCAAGCTTCCCAAGGGTATCCTGATGGTTGGACCCCCCGGTACTGGTAAAACTCTCTTGGCCCGCGCCGTTGCCGGTGAAGCTGGCGTCCCTTTCTTCTACATGTCTGGCAGTGAATTCGACGAGGTCTACGTCGGTGTCGGTGCCAAGCGCGTCCGCGATCTCTTCGCTTCCGCCAAGTCCAAGTCTCCCGCCATCATCTTCATCGACGAGCTCGACGCCATTGGTGGACGCCGCAATACTAGGGATGCCGCCTACCACAAGCAGACGCTCAACCAGCTCTTGACGGAACTGGACGGTTTCGAGCAGAACAGCGGTGTCGTCATCATCGCTGCCACTAATTTCCCGGAACTTCTCGACAAGGCTCTTACCCGACCTGGACGTTTTGACCGCCACGTTACCGTTCCCCTGCCTGATGTACGCGGCCGTATTGAGATCCTCAAGTACCATGCCAAGAAGATCAAGGCCGCCCCCGAGATCAACTTTGAGGCCATTGCTTCCAGCACTGGCGGCCTCTCTGGTGCCGAGCTCGAGAACATTGTCAACCAGGCCGCCGTCCGCGCCAGCAGGCTCAAGAATGCTGCCGTCTCCATGACGGATTTCGAGTGGGCCAAGGACAAGGTCATCATGGGTGCGGAGAAGAAGAGCATGGTCATCAGTCAGAAGGAGAAGGAGATGACTGCCTATCACGAGGCCGGTCACGCCTTGGTGTCTTTCTACCATGAGAGCGGTCCCAACAAGCTTTACAAGGTTACCATTTTGCCTCGCGGCCAGAGTCTCGGACACACTGCACACCTTCCTGAGATGGACAAGTATTCGTACACGACGAGGGACCTCAAGAGTCTGATTGAGACCTCTCTGGGCGGAAAGCTCGCCGAAGAGCTGGTCTATGGCACCGACAAGGTGACCACCGGTGTCTCAAGCGTAAGTTAACCTCGACATTGACTTGTGGGATTGGCACTAACAGTAAGCAGGATCTCAAGAATGCCACAAACCTGGCTTTCCAGATGGTCGCTCTGTACGGCATGTCTGCCAAGCTCGGCCCCGTGGAGTACGGCGAGCGCTACAACCAGCTCAGCTCAGAGACCAAGGCTCTCATCGAGTCCGAAGTGCAGCGTACCTTGACGGAGTCATACGAAAAGGTGCGCGAGCTGCTCACATCAAGGCGCAAGGAGCTCGATCTCCTGGCCAAGGCCCTCGTCGAGTACGAGACGCTGGACAAGAACGAGGTAGAGAAGGTCATTCGCGGCGAGAAGCTTCTTGACCGCACGCCCATGCCTCAAGGCCCTATGAAGGTGCCTGCAAGCTCGGGCGTTGATATCGGTCAGACGATTCCCCCGCCGTTCCCTCCTCCTGCCGGACCCGCTACGCCTCCGCCGGCGCCACCGCCACCTGCGACTTCTACGGGTGGCATCGCTCCTGGATCCAACCAGAAGTCATGACCGGAGCTTACCGTACGTGACTCTGGTCAGGACCATTATCAACACATTTTGTTTTCACGGTTAGCATGCGGTAGTGCGAGGGCCGAGTCGCGGCCCGTTGGGAGGCACTCGCATGGACTTACAATGTATCATTTTACGGTACAGCATGGCAGGCGTTTACCAGAAATTAAAGAATTTGCGATTTCATTTGCCTTTTGGAGGATAACCAGGAAAAACGAGACAGGCCTGGCTTTGGCCAACACAGCTTGGTCAACGTGCTACTGGCCAAAGGCGAAGAAAAGCAGCAGGGTCTCTCGTAAGATCCGCTGTGCGCACGAATAACACTCTCCCCTCACCTGGGGCTTCGATACGCCTTCGCAAATTAGGGCGTCGGCCTCGGACATAGATTGGGTTGGCTATACAGGGAGGGCAAGACCGACTCTGTTGGGGTTTTAAAACTCCCCATCACAGCGACGCAAGCGGACCGTTCTCTACTTTAACGGGATCGGCAGCGGCTGGACTCTGTAGA